TTAATTTAAATAATTTACCTAATTACGTATATGATATGTACAAAGATTTCAATTAATTTTTTTTATTAATAATCTAAAATTACTATATTTAATTAGTTGTTGCATTGGCATCTTGTGATGCAATGTTTGTAACGAAGATATTTAAATTGTCAATTTTAGGCCATTATATATGGGGATCCAATGGAGTCATGAGGCAATAATTTCTACCAAGACTTATTTAATTTTGTCAAAGGAATTTTATTTTTTTGGTCAGCCATCATTTCAACACATAAAAGATGGCCGACCTTCCATTTGAAATGGGGGGTGTGTCAAGAATCAAGATTTTTAAAGGTTTTCAAGGTCTTGAGTTGACTATAGATAGGATCCCACCATGCACTACTTATGGAAATCAATTTTTTGATCTTTTACTTTCCAAATAAGAGTATACATCATGATTTTTTTCATCTCTTAATTTGATCCTCTTTTGTTGAACTTTTCTTTTTTCTTTTTTTTCTTGACAACTCTCTCCAAATCCGATCATCAATTCACCAACTAAAAAATTTGAAGAGACGGATAAAGAATGCGTATTGAAGAAAGATGAGAAGAGTTATGCGTAATAGTTTTCAAAATCGACATCCAGCTCAATCAAATGAGAAAAACTACTATGACTTGATAAATTGTATAAAACTTTATGACTATAAATTACAAAATAAGAATCTTCATCATAACTCAAAAGTAGACAAAACTAAAGAAAATAGCGTACGAAATTAAAAATTTTCAATTGTCATATTTTGTATAATGAACAATCAACATTTTTGTTAACTTTACAATGGTGTGACTTGTGTCCATAGAAAATTTCCTCCTTAGTGTCACCTAGGTGTCCACTTTTTATCTCCCACTTAATATAAAGTTGTGCCAACATTCTATCAAGAGTTGACTTCCATTTAGATTTGATCTTTTGAAGGCAAAGAAAGTATAGTCTTCAGATACTCCACCAATCTAGTTGGAAAGCTAGGTAATATCAGGAAATTGTGGTGTTCTTTCACTAGTAATTTTTTTTTGTTTGGGAGAAAACACAAATTGGGAAAAGATGAAATAAAAAGAATAAAAATGGAAATGGAAAACTCCATTCGATCAGATTACGTTCAAATAAACAATTCAATGTCAAGGTTGGTGTTCGTACCATCTTGTTTCAATTAATTTGTATAGATGAAACAAGTATGGGTAGGAGGAGAAATTACTTTTCATCCATCTTATATATTTTTTCCTTTATTAAAGTATCATGAGATGGATGCAACTATCGAAATATTAGTGAGATCTCGAAAATCGTCATAATTGAGAGATGGCCAAATGTCTAATAGTTGTAATCTTAAAAATTAGTTATTATGACATTCTACATAGTTATACAATTGCTCCTCAATATTCAAGGATCCTTGTCTTCTCGTAGATCAACATGTGTTTCCGCCGTTTTATTTGTTAATTTATTTTTTTCTAATATTTTTCATAGTTTCATGTGAGTGAGTTAAAAAAAAAAAAAAAAAATTGATTAGGACATTAATCATCTTATAATTGAAGGTGCGGATTGGTTGAGTTTTATATCATTTCGTGCCAACTGGATTTCAATCAAATCCCCAAAATAGGAAAATAATGGTTAGGCTAGAATTTAACTTAAGTTAATATATGGTTTGAAGGTGCGTAAAAATAATGTTATCCCATATCATTGATATTATGACATCAACTTAGGTGGCAATATATGATTGACTTAATAAAATATAGAATTATGTAATTCATTTAATTTTACTTATCATTTAGCTCCTGTCTGATAGTCATTATTCTAAAAAACTTTAATTCAAATACTTATTTTTAACTACATATTCGTATTATAAAATATTTTATATATAAATCCAAAAAATTTTCCTAATTTTTAATAACGTATTTTTTTTTGAAAAAATTAATCTTCAAAATATTATTTTTTACAAATAAAGGACACTAAATGCCAAATAGCGACAATCATCTATATTGAGATGAATGTAGCAGAGAAGACAATTGGTTGAGTGAGGGGTCATTCTCAGAGTGGTGGAAGGAAAAGAGGGTACTTGAAATGACAATTCAAATGTCAATTCCAAACACCTCAAATCATAAGACAGTCAGTGATGTGTTGTCCATCAATCTCTATTCTTTTTTTTTTCTTTTTTCTTTTTTGTTAGGGCAAAATAATAGTTATTGCTTTGCACTCCAATCATTCAACAATATTTTAAATCAACCAACAATTTTTATTTTTTATTTTTAAAAATATAACTATAAATAATTTAATTAGGGAATTAGCTTGATAAACACATATATATTAAGAATCCATATGTATGTGAAGTACACCTTCTAAAGAAAACTTAACGAATTGATCAAAAAGGAAATTGTTGGTGTATAAACTTAATATTGTAACCAATTTTACATGTCAAAAATTCCTTATTCATTGTTTAATGAGTTCGATTACAAGCACATGTGTGGTTGATGTGAAATTATGTTTGGCCCTACGAGAAACTTTATTCAACTGTAATGAATATCCAACACCTGCAATTTTTTAAAAGAGAGAGTGTGATAATTAATGCGATATCAATTACGATAAATTACTAGCAAATGCATCATCTTTAGAAATTTTGGTAAAAAATGAAGTGACTTAGTCACTCAATTATGACATATACTCGTCTGTACACCAAATACTTATATTTATATGTGTTTCTATATATACGAATCCTACTACAAGAATCCAAATTATTTTAAATGGTAAATAAGGAGTTATCTTTTATTCTATAGAATATGTATTATTGATTTCAACATAGTAAAATTTCGAATTAATCATTTTGGATAGGGCCTTGCAACAAGGCGCCGAATTGGCGCTCCCTAGTGGAGGTGGCGCCGATGGAAGGGGCCTAGATGGCCCTGTTCGTCCAACACTGCTATAAAATTTTAAGCATGTAACAGATGTATCGTGTACGAATCTTTACAGAAATAAAAATAATAGTATTTAAAAATTTCAACATATTTGAATTAGTGAGGAATTTTGATGTAAAGTATATAATGTCTTCACAAATAAGTAAAGAGTGTTTCAACTTTTGTGCTGCTAAAAAATTTTGGCGACAAATATGAAGCAGCACCTTTTCTCTAGTTAGCACGCGTGAAGTCTTGCCTCACGTGCAGCAGTCCCAGAGACCCAACTGACACACTTTGTCCTTTTCTCCATGTATTTATTTCTCAATTCTTTGGTAATTTATTTAATTAAATTTTTATTTATCCAATTCTAAATTTTTGTTAATACGGTAATCATTGAAAACATCCACTATTTTCATTAATTTAAAAGTTGTTGTGTTCTAGTAATTCTCTCAAAATGGTTTTTTTATTTATTTTTTATTTTTATTTTTTTCACTACCTTTTAACTTTTATAGCTGAGTTGCTTAAGTACAAAGTATTCTTTTGGTTGACCCTTCTCGTTATAGTCATTTTAGAATTAGTAGCACTTTATTGGTTATAAACATATATTCCCTATGAAAATATTCAAAAAACATTTTATATATAAAGAGTATCTTATCTTTAATAGAAGACATTTTTAAATTTAAAGAGTAATTATTATTTTTTTATACATTCTTATTATAATCTCTATTTAGACATTTAATTTTGTTTTTTTCAAGAAACATTTTTAGATTTATCGTCATATTTTATTTAACGTATATTTTTAAATATGTCAATGAACAATTAATTTTAATATAATTTGAATAATTGAAGAAAATGGAGTGTTGAAATTTGAAGATTATTGAATACTTGTTTGATGAATATTTTTTAAGAAGTGATTCTTTGAATTATTATTATTATTTTTAATATATATGTGGTTAAAAAGTTTAGAAAAGTTATTGAGTAAGTGAAATTGATTTTTCTGAGAATTTATAATTGAAAATGAGTATGAGAAATAAGTTATTCTCAAAATTCAAAATCTAACGCTATACTTTATCATCGATATTGCTTATGTTATCTTTAGTATGTATATCAACAACAAAGTCGATCACTTAGTTGCAAAGTAATCGATCCTTATTTTATCTTTAGTATGTATACTGACAATAAATTCGATCACATAGTCGCAAGGTAATCAATCCTTATTTTTTATTATTTACGAACAAGTATGATATTTGGCAATATTCTCTTCAATGTTTAATTGCATACTCTTAAATATCATAAATGCACACATGTATTAATACTGTGGACAAAAATTAAATAATTGATAAAATTTTGGCAAATAGTGCAAGAATGAATTGTCAACTTCATATATAAATAAAAGTAAAGTCTACAGGTGTTACGGAGGTACGGGGAAATTTGAATTAGAAAATAGTGGGCACAGATAATAATCTCTAGTAGAAGATTTTTGACTTTACAAAGTTCATACTAGAGATGTCAATTGGGCGCGTCGACTTGAACAGTTCGTAATTCAACCCGAAAAAAACCTGAATGGGCTCGTAAAAAAAGGAGTAAAAATCTGCTGCTTGTTTGGCAGCATTATATGCTGCATGTTTGGCAGCCAAACAAGCAACTATTTTAGGGGAAAAAATTTTTAAAATTCCAAAAAAAACCAAGCTTGGCCCGGCTCAACTCGGTAAGGTCCAGGCCAAAAGCTTGGGTCAAACCTTAATTTTTTGGCTGAGCAAAATGGCCAAAAAAAGCCTGGCTTAAAAAAGCTTGGGTTCAACTCAACTCGTTGAGAATTATTTAGTTTTCGTTTGACAAATTTATTAATAAGAATGTGTGAATAATAATCTTTAATTTATAATTAAAATTAGTATATTAATTTAACTCAATTAATCCAGACGAAGTGACATAAACATACATAAATAAAATACGGCCATCCCAAGGAAGATCTTGTTGTGTAATTAGGCATCAGATCAAGGACCCACCCATCAAATTATCAATAATTCTATCAGATTTCATGTTAATATAAAAGTAATCTCAGCCGCTCACGTTAGCGATTTACACTGAATCAATTAGAGATAGAGAGAGTGAGCCTCACAAGAGATAACTGTTAGTCATCAAAGAGTAGAAGAAGAGAATGATTAAATGAATGAGCAACCAAGCTTTTACGCTCTCTTCTTCTCCTCCACTTAAAAACTGAACCTTCTACTCCTATACATATCTATCATCTACAGAAACACGCACACACGAGTGTCTCTCTCTTACTCTCTCTCAAACATTTTCTACTCTCTCTCTACAGTTCGCCATGACCCCGGAAGACTCCTTAAGATCTCTCTCTTTAGACTATCTCAATCTCCTAATCAACGGCCAGGCTTTCAGTGATGTAACTTTTAGTGTAGAGGGCCGTTTAGTCCATGCCCACAGGTGTATCCTAGCTGCCAGAAGTCTCTTCTTCAGGAAATTCTTTTGCGGGTCCGACACGCCGGGGGGTTTAGACGCATCCGGCTCCAGGATGGGCCAGACCGGGGGACTTGCATCATCTCCGAGAGGGGGAAACCCTCATGTTATACCGGTGAATTCAGTGGGGTATGAAGTTTTCCTGTTGATGCTGCAATTCTTGTACAGTGGACAAGTCTCTGTTGTGCCCCAGAAGCACGAGCCCAGGCCTAACTGTGGGGAGAGAGGATGTTGGCACACACATTGCACTGCAGCCGTTGATCTTGCTCTTGAAACCCTTGTCGCCGCGAGATCCTTTGGAGTGGAACAGCTCGCTTTGCTCACTCAGGTTTTCTTGTTTTCGTGTCCACAGTTTTTCATACTAATCTCTCTCTTAAGCACTGACATAGGGAAACTAATTAGCAAGATCTGAAAACAGCGGTTTAATTTGTGGGTTTTGATTTATTTAAATAACCACGCTAATTGTGTCTGAGGTGGCCTGGTTAAGACTTTGAAGAAAATTGAGTTGCAGAAAAAATATCGTGTTAATAGGTTCATTAAAATTTCTAATTATGTTTTAATCAACTTTCTTTCCTTTTGTTGCTGGGTTAATATTATTTCAATGAAATCTAGCACTCTCTTTCTGTAGAACTAGTTTTCCTCTTCATTTCTTCCGCAGCATCTTATCCAACAGTGGTTTTATAAGTTTTAACTAATGAATAGCGTGGCTTTGTTTTTTTCTTTTCTCTGAAAACTGTCTTGAATAATGCTGTGTCAATTGACCGGTTCCAATATTGACCACAGAAACATGTTTCTTGAATTGTATTTCACTATAATCCACTACCAAAGCATTCCACATTTGGTTGTTTGATCTCTAGTCATGTCTTCCACAGTGATCTCATCAAATCTTGTCCAAATAACCTAACTTACCTCATTTGGGTTCAAGGACAGAAATCTAATCTAACTATTAATGCTGAAACGCTACAAGAATTGTAGTTGTAATGTTGTGAGATATTTTTTAAGAATTTTAATTTTAATTTTTAAATGTTGGAATGCAGAAGCAATTGGCAAATATGGTAGAGAAGGCCTCAATTGAGGATGTAATGAAAGTTTTGATAGCTTCAAGAAAACAAGATATGCACCAGTTGTGGACTACTTGTTCCCATCTGGTGGCGAAATCTGGCCTCCCACCAGAAGTTCTAGCAAAGCACCTCCCCATTGATGTTGTAGCCAAGATTGAAGAGCTCCGCCTCAAGTCGTCCCTTGCCCGTCGCTCCCTAATGCCTCACCACCACCACGATCTTAGCGGTGCTGCTGCTGATCTCGAAGACCAGAAAATACGCCGAATGAGACGAGCCCTCGACTCTTCTGATGTGGAACTTGTTAAGCTTATGGTAATGGGAGAAGGCCTTAATCTTGACGATGCATTGGCCTTGCACTATGCAGTAGAGAATTGCAGCCGGGAAGTGGTAAAAGCATTGCTTGAACTTGGTGCAGCTGATGTAAACTACCCGGCTGGCCCAGCAGGCAAAACCCCACTCCACATTGCCGCCGAAATGGTGTCTCCGGACATGGTGGCGGTCCTCCTCGACCACCATGCCGATCCGAATGTCCGAACCTTGGATGGTGTCACTCCCCTTGATGTCCTTCGAACCCTAACTTCTGATTTTCTCTTCAAAGGGGCTGTGCCCGGACTCACACACATTGAACCAAACAAGTTGAGGCTTTGCCTGGAGCTCGTCCAATCTGCTGCCTTGGTAATTTCCCGCGAGGAGGGCAATGCCAATGCACCTTCTTCCACCACAATTTATCCTCCAATGAGTACTGAAGATCATGCCTGCAGTAGCACGAGCAGTGGAAACATGGCGAACCTTAACCTTGATTCAAGAATGGTGTATCTAAATCTTGGCGCAGCCCAAATGGGACGCAAACTGAATGAAGGAGAAGACAGCAGCCATAACAACCAAAGAGAAGCCATGAATCGACATGACCCTTCAATGTATCATCACTCCCATGATCATCAGTATTAACTCAACTACACTTCAATTCCTCTTTCTCTATATTGAACAATATTTCCATGAAATGGGGCTCTGATTAAACTAGCTTGCAAAAGTTTGTTCGATATTCATGGAGATATAACCAAACAAGTTGAGGCTTTGCCTGGAGCTCGTCCAATCTGCTGCCTTGGTAATTTCCCGCGAGGAGGGCAATGCCAATGCACCTTCTTCCACCACAATTTATCCTCCAATGAGTACTGAAGATCATGCCTGCAGTAGCACGAGCAGTGGAAACATGGCGAACCTTAACCTTGATTCAAGAATGGTGTATCTAAATCTTGGCGCAGCCCAAATGGGACGCAAACTGAATGAAGGAGAAGACAGCAGCCATAACAACCAAAGAGAAGCCATGAATCGACATGACCCTTCAATGTATCATCACTCCCATGATCATCAGTATTAACTCAACTACACTTCAATTCCTCTTTCTCTATATTGAACAATATTTCCATGAAATGGGGCTCTGATTAAACTAGCTTGCAAGAGTTTGTTCGATATTCATGGAGATATTTATATACTTTTCATTGCAGTCATAAATCAACACCATTGATTTTTGTTTCACTTTTTATGCGGTGTAAGTTCTTGATTTTTCTAGGCTGTCAACGATGGAATTTTTTTGTCAATGAGATGGACAAGAGACTGAGTATCCAAGTTTTTCTGCTTTGATGGAGATGACACAGGTCAATCTTTTCAAACCCTCTGGCCTGTCAACTCATTTTGTTTCTACTTATAAGTTATAATGTAATAAAAATATCCAAAACCTACAATTTATTTCTTCCCATCCAAACACCGACCCTTTTATAATTTTATTATACTAAAATTTAATATTTTGATATATTTATGTAATATATACATAAATGCACCGAATAGTATGTTATCATTAGCATAATTTTATGCATTTCATCTTATTTAAGATTGTTTTTTTGGTGTATTTTATGCTTTATGCATATTGCCCCACATGAATATATTTTTCAAGAATGGATCATTTGGTTTCTTGTGCCGGTGGCCGGGTGGGGTAGTAGAGTCTTTTGGGACTTTGTTGGGACATCAGATTAGACCATTGTTTTTGTTGGTGATGAGGGATATGAGCTGTCTCTTCTCTTCACTGGTATATTTTTCTTTTTTCTTTTGTACTTTAAGGAATTTGATTGGCCTTAAACCATTTCTAATTTTTCATATCATATTTTAATAGAAATCATTTGGCGAATTGTACCCAAAAATAAAAATAAAAAAGAGGATTGCTGTCTTACTAGAATGCAGCATTGAGTGTGATCACAAGATAGATTATTATATTCCTGGTATAATATATAATTCTTGATCTGTCTTATTGTTAATTAGATGACATAATGATATATTTGTATATTGAATTGTTGCTCACCTTTTAATTTGTCATTCTCTCTTTCTTGGTTGAGTGCAATGAATGTGTTCTTGAGTATGTTATATAGGTAGACAATTCAATAAGCAAATGATTTAGATTTATTTTCCTTTTAGAAGATGGAAAATTTAAATAGCGTTTAATCTGTTCTTTTTATTGAATTAAGTTATTAGACGATGATAGTAAAATAAGTAAATTTGTGACCAATGTTTCAAATTTTATTAAATTACGTGTATTATATGTAATTGATTAGGAAAAGAATTTGATAGACACTAAAGAAAATACGATAGTACAAATTATAGTCGATCACTTACACAATAAAGAATAAAATTTTGATAATTGATTTATCAAAAGAACTTTGAATGGAGCATAATATCATTATTCGAATTAAAAGATCTAAATAAATCATAGTAGCACGTCTAACTTGGTTTTGTTTTTTCTTTGGTTGCTTAATTTTTCGGAGTTTCTCTGTTTTGGGGTCTAAATGATGTCATAATTAATAAATTTATTTATTAAGAAAAATTCTACTTGTACATAATTATTGCACATAATAGTATCCATAATGTGATGTGACAATCATCCGGTTATTAAAGTGCAAGTGTGAGATTTGAATTAAAGGTTGAATCCAGTGCAACGTGTAATTATGAACACCATTATGTAGACAATTATATATATGTAGCATTTCTCAGAAATTATATATGATTATTTTTGTGTCAGTATTTAAAAACTTTTTGCCATTTTCTTATGCTGCTGTTTTCTCCGTTTATTTTATCTTTGAACAATCTTCCAATTTAAGAACTAAGGCAATTGTTTAAGAAGGATTATTTCAAAAGGCAAAAGAAGTAAAAGGAAAAAAAATTGAGAGAGGATTATTTTCTAAAATATATTAGGTTAGGATCGGATATTCTAAAAATAACGAGTATTTGTTAACTTGTTAAATACAAAACCATAAGTAATCATTCTTTTTTGTGCCAACTAAACCTTGATGATATTTGAAAGTTAATTAAATACTGAAATTTTCTATTCAATCCACAGAGCTAAAATAAAAGAGATGAAGATTTATAATAAATAAGTGAATTTCTCATTTCTCATTTATTTAGTAACTTCAACTTTTAAATGAGGCCATTACATGAATAAGTTTCACCTTAACTTTTTCATCAAAAAAAAAAAAAAAAAAATGGGGGTATCACATCCTTGTTTAAAAAATATATACTTGTACAAGTAAATGTTGAAGATAAATAAAAATTGAAAATAAATAAATAAATAAATATATTTACTCTCTAACACATCAACCTTATAGGTTGTCGCAAAGTAATTTATTTTTATTTTTTTTCCAAGAGAAAATAGCATGTTACATAAATATGAGAGGGTTGTAATCAGCAGCATATTCAATTCCTGTTTAGGTCGTTTTTCTTTCTTTCCCTTTTTTCATATTTATTTATTTTTTATTTTGCACTTGTGTCACCATCCGTTACTTTGTAGCTATAAGTGTAAACAAATTAAGTAAAAATAAATACTGAATATGGATCTACCAGAAAGAAAAAGAAAATTACTTTTCAAGATTTATGCCTTTATTTTCTTGAAAAGTTAAAAGCTTATTCAAATTATAAACTAAATTAAATTTTGGCACTTCGCATTCCCAAAGTAACCAAATTCGATACTTTATTCTTTAAAAATAATCTAAAAAGCAACTAATGCTAGCTACCTCTTTGTTAGGAACTTGTCTCCTTTTTTGTTTGTGGGCAACTTATCCCCTCAATTTTATCACTTTTGGCACAGCAGCCCACTGAATTTATGCATATTTGCATTTATCTCTTGTAGACAATTAAAAACCATTCAATTATGTAATTTCCAGCACTTTCATTGGGAAAATGTCAATGGTCATTTTAATTTAGTAACCAAACTTTAGATTGTTTCAAATTGGTTATTGTAGTTTGCTTTTATTTCTTCTCTCTCTCTCTCTTCCTCCCTGCGCTCGTTATAAAACCGCGGTTTAAATGGATAACTTGCCTGCGGTGATTTCAAGCAGGTTGAGATGACTCGATATGGCACGATGTAAGTAATTTATAGGTTGGCATGTCCAATGTAGAACCTTATTGTTAATTTCCTTTTTTTTTTTTCTCGAAGTTTGGCTTTTCATGGAAAATCTTTTGAGGGGACAATTTCTTATTCTTTTGTTGATTGGTTTGGGCACTAGAAGATGTTGTGCTCCCCTTTAGGAAAAGCTAATGACAAATTACAACTTTTAATTGAAGTAATATCCGTTTTTTATTTTTTATTTTTAAACTTCACTTTAAGATCTATAAAATCTTCACAAAGTATTGAAATTTTTTGACTTTTGGGGTGGGGGGGGGGG